CCCTGGGCAGGGCCGGCAGCCCCCCCTGCCTACATAGGCAGCTCTGCTTTCCCCAGGCACCTGCCTCGCTGCCAGGGGCTGCAGCGCACCTCACTCTCCCCAAGGCTGCGAAAGTCTCTCCCCACCCTCCAAACGCCTTTCAGCAAACAGTGACCGCATGTCTGGAAGTGCGGGACCAAGACGTGACCGACGCCCTCCTGGACCAGACTTCAGACAGGCCCCTCGGAGCCCTCTTTTCCTACCTACGTAGATGTAAAAATAAGAAGCATCACATATATGTGGTGCATATTACATGTACGATGCATGACATCTATGATTCATATGTATGTAGTTTTATTTTAATAAGAAAAGTAATGAGCGACGAACCAAACTATAGGATGAAGGAGGAAACTGGAAGGACAGACAGAAAGGCAAGAACTCTGAGAATAGGCCTTGTGTGATACCGTTCCCCTTGGAACCACGTACAGGGAGGTTCTGAAAGGTAACTGGGGCCAGCTCTCTAGTCTGGTGACTAAGGCAGCTGGATGCCACTTAGCTGGCTGTGCGGTTCAAATCCTGGCCCCAGTGATTGAAAAACATGGTGGACGCGTGTGCATGTGTAGCCAACATGCCCATGGGGTGGAGAAAGGGAGAAGGGATTACAGCCTAACTGTGCCCCACCGGGAGGATCACCTTCTGGCAAATAAATAGAAAATTCTAATAACTGGAACAGAGCAAAATAAAAAGATTAGCATCCCCAAATGATAGGAGGACATGAATGACCCTAGCAGGATGTCGGGTTTTGACACCTCAGAGAATTATTCTGAGGGTTCTCACCAGCATTTTGGGTATGCCACCCCCGGCATGGTAACACGTCCTGAGGACATAAGAAGCGGGGCAGGGCGTGGCGGACCTGACGCAGGTAGCAACGCTCCAAGAGGTGGAGCCGCGGGAGGTCCCGGGTTGCATCTGGAGACCTCCAGACTGTGCTGGGCATGTGTTTGCGCGGGAGCGAGGGCTGGCTGAAGCCGGAGCTGCGCTGCCGTGTGAGGACCCTGGGGTGCTGTCTCTGTTTCTCTTGCTCATGAAAGAAAGTAAGTTGAAAAACAAAAAAGAAAAGAAAAAGAACCGTGGGGAAATCTGAAGCTGTGTTCTTGTTCATAATCATGTTCATGCTGTTGCCCTGACGCTATTATTGGGTTCTTGGAAAAGTCATGATACAGTTTTGCATAGGAAAAACAGAAAAAAAATCTGTCATGACTTTTCTGACAAACTAATATATATACATTGTAGGATCAAGAAAATTAGTAATTATATAAATGTCACTGAGAAACACAATTTTCAGTATAAAAGAAAAGAAAAACATAAAATCAGATAAGAAGCCCACAACTCAAATTTATTATTTTTTCTCTTTCTAAAAAATAGCATATTTCCCAGCTTTGTCTCCTGAAGAGGGCTAGAAGGATCACAGCCCGGCAGCAATGAGCACCCCAATGCCCAGACAGTGTTCTCCAAATGCTGCTCTCCACTCAACACGACCAGGGTTCATGGGAGGAATGGCCGGCCGATCTCCTGTGCCTGGAGACCCCTCTGCCATCAGGGGACTGGGGGACACAGCAGTAGAACACAGGGCCAGCTGGAAGGGGCCAGAAACAGGACAATTGGAGCTTCGGGAAGAGTAATGATGCCCTGGGTTGAAACGCATCGTATACATGTATGTATGGCGGATGTATGTGCACATACTTGTATGTGTGTATAGAATACTGTGGGGGAAAGGAAAACCTCCTTGATTAGCGTGGAGGCTGTGAGGCCTTAAAATTGTTATTCTGAAAATAAATAATGAAGCACCTCACTGCTTTTCCTGTGAAACTGCTTTGAGTAACCGAACAGGTGACAGAGCTCCGAATAGGTGACAGGCGCGAGAGAGCCAGCAGGGAGGCTGCTGCTCGGCGGCTCCCGACGACATAACGGGTCCCAGGGTGGCTTCCCAAGGCCCTAAGTGACTGGGTGAAGCCTGGCGGGGAACTGCCCGCTGTGTCGTCACGCGGCAGCAGCTGGACGGAATGCACGTTTATTGTCACTGTACTACTATGGTAAAGCTGACGTAGCAGAACATTCGCTCAGACGGTCGCTCCCAGTGTTGGTGACTGTGGCGCACTGACTGTGCCGGAGTAGCGCAGTGGGGGTCTGCAGTGCCCCTACCAACGACGCCTGGGGACAGTCCACAGTGAACCAGGCACCGTCAGAAGCACAGTGTGGGCCACGCCACAACGACAGGCAACGACACGCCAGGGAGCACCTGGTGCCACCAGAGCTGGAAGAGGCAAGCGGGGCCCTCCTGGAGCCTCCGGAGGGAGTCTGATCTTGCTGACACCGTGAGGGCCAGCCTCCAGAGCTGTGAGACAATCGGTCCTGCTGTGTCGCCACGTTCGTGGTCATTTGCTGTGGCAGCAATGTGCACAGGGGTTTCTCCACCTACGCTTTGGGACGAGTAGGTCCAGAGCAGGTCCTAACCCGTGGGGCAGGACCCAACTGCCCTCGGCATGTGAGTCACTGGGGGGTGCTGGTTCAATCCATCGGGCGACGAGAGGTGCTGTGTCTAGGAGCCAGGCTCCAGGGGCCATGGAACCCGGGCTCTCACCCACCGAAGCCCCGTGAAGTTGCAGAAGGTCATTTCTGAGCAGCCATGTGAAGACATGCAGTCTAGGGCCAGAAGGTGGTGTGGTGGTGGGGCACTGGATTCCCACGTAGCCAACCACGGTTTGAGTCTGAAACCCGGAGGCTTGCTTTCTCACTTTCCCGCCCTCTCTCTCTGGTCGTATTTAAATAATAATAATAATAGTAAATAAAACTCAAAATTAAATTACTATAAAGAAAAAAAGACATGTAGTCTGGGGAGAGGATCCACAGCTTCCGCCGACTTTCCAAGGTGCACAGGTCCCAGGGCAGGTTCAGAACCTTGGTCTTGCCCCCAAGACCTTATTTTACAGACGAGGGAATGAGGACACAGAGGGTCAGGGAGGTGACTCCCCACGATCATCTAGCTGCAGACCAGGGCACCCGGCTTTGTGTTCTCGTTGGCCTGTGTGATGGCTCTGTTGTTTTAGATTTTTACTGTAGGATGTGTGCGCTCACTGAAGAGAGACGGGGAGAGAGTGAGCAGTCACCTCCCAGGGGGTAGCCGCGACGCAGTTCTGTCTCCTCCATGCTCCTCTCAGTATTTTCGGACACGCACACACACGTGCCTGGCAGGTTTTTCCAGCTGCCAGGTCTGGAACTTAGGCTGCGAAGTCAGCCATGTGGGACCAGCACCTTAACCACTGTACCACCTGCTGGCTCAGGCCTGTCTTAAAAGACTGGGGATTGTCCACATTTAGAAGTTAGGAGATTTGGGACCAGCAGGTGATGTGGTGGTTAAGGACTAGACTCACATCAGTGTGAGTCCCAGACCTAGCGGCTTGCTCACCCCCCCGCACCCCATCTCTGTCTCTCTCTGGTCAAACTAAAAAATAATATAAATTGGGACCAGCAGTTGGCATGATGGCTATGTCCCTGGACTCCCATGTAGTTGAATGTGGTTCAAGTCCCGGACCCAGTGGTTTAAACTCATGCTGGGCGCGTGTGTATGGGTGCCCAAGATCCCGAGAGGAGAATGGAGGAGAAGGGATTGCAGTGTGGCCATTGCCCCTGGTGGGGGATGATTTCTCACTTTCTGTCTCTCTGTCTCTGTCTTTCCTATAGCAAAAACCTCTTCAAAAATATATATATACATATATTAATTAATTAATTAATTAATTCTAAAAAATAGAAAGTGGGAGATTTGACAGTAAGACAAAATGACCTTCTTGATTGTCTTGAAAACTGCTAAGTTCTGCAGTGTGAACCTCTGTTCCCGTCGGGTGACAATTGGCCTGAGCGAGTGTCCATTGACTCTTTAGCCCTAGTCCTCACCCCTCCTTATTGCCCTTTTGCCAAGCTAGCTTCACTGTGTTGGGCCCCTCTAAGTGCTTGAGTTTGTGGCCCCAGAGACAGCTGAAGTCCCAGGCTGGACTCTGAACACCCTCTCCCGCTCTCCCATGCGGTTCGTGTGCCTGCCTCCCTTGCATGCTGATCTATTAGGGGCTCCACCAAGGCGGGATTCTGTCTGACGAGCAGTTCAGTGACTCCAAGATGCTCTAGCGCTCTGGCTCTTCCCAAGAGCCTGCAGGGCATCTGCAAACCGTGGCTCTTTGTCTTCCAGCTCCTTCGCTCCTGTGGAGACTTTTATTACTTAATTATTACACACCCCATGCTTCTGGGCAGCCTAATTTATAGCTGTGTTTTCTAATGACACGGGATGCGCAGTCTCGAAATATCTACCCCCAGAGGCCGTTCACAGCCGAAGAGCTCTCTTCCCGGCATCCCCCTCCATCCATCACCATTAACCAGCCTCCTGGCCCTCCCACAGCCCCAGCTGACACCTCTGTGCCCTGCCCTGGCCAGTGGCCCTCATTGCAGGAAGGAGGTCTGAGCACAAAAAGAACCACCAATCCCAGGGGTCACCCTGACCCCAGCCAGCTCCGGAAGCAGATCCGGCAGGGTTGGGCCGTTTTTGCACTGGCTCATTTACCTGGGTATGAAGGTCGAGAGGCTGGTCTAACACGAGGAAACCCGGTACAGAAGTCGGACCCTGGCTCCCTTGCTTAAACCCCCACCGCCTCCCGTTTCTCAGACTGAGCCCA